CCATTTATCGACATCTCAACTAACATTTATCAAAAGGTTGAGATTTAGGATCGCTAACATTAACAAAACATACCATCTTGATTGTAAAATCTGAAAATTATGTTCATAATTTAAAATTTGAGCCGTAANTTTATCACCCTAATTAATTTTCAGAAATATAGGGAATTCAAACCATATTTTAACTAGTGATGATCAATTTTTGATAAAGAGAACAAATATTATATGAGATTTCACTGGATTGGAAATTCTTCTAGTTTTTCATTGAATGTTTGAATTCTCAATTTCGCACAATTATTGATCGGGTGAAGTTCTAACGGACATGTCAAACAATAAAATATAAGAGTTATTGAACTTCTGGTTCAAATAATATTTATCAAAATGGTCACTAAAGTTTAGTTTAGTGTCGCAATTAAGAAACAATGTTACAAACTTTGTATGTTTCTTTTTTATTTAGTGAAGAATAAGTTACTAACAATAGTAAGTTTATCCCTTCATATCACACAATATTGACTCTTCTGAAATCTCAAAATAATATTTTTTTCAAGAATATTGATATAAAAAATTATTCCTTCTTTAGAAGCAATTTAATTATAATTGCAATTCTCTAGTATCGATACAATATTGCATTGAATAGTCTAAATTGTGATTTTTAAAAAATAATCACATAATATTTTACAAGAATATTAATAAATTTAAAATTATACTTCTTTCAGAGCAACTCAATATTCTTCAAGAATATTGATTTATATTAATTGATTCAAACAATTTTTCAATATTCAAATGTTTGAATTGTACTTCGTTCCAGAATAATAATAATAATAATATCTTGCTCTTCATGATTAATAACGTATTATTCTTTTGGAATATTAACAATGTTGTGCTTCTTCAGGAGCACCAACAAACTATTATTTAAAAATATAGCTTTTCAGGAGTATGCTTTATTGGAAAATATTAATTATTTGTAGAGTTGTATTTTTTAAGTAACGACAACATGATCCATTTAAAGTTTATAAATGAATATAAAAAAATATCTAATCACATTGTGATGAGATAATAACAAATTATATTTTAATCAATTTATATAATCCCGTATTTTTTTCATACAAAGATAACAATCTGCATCATTAGTTCAATCACATAATCACAAGGCAATGTTCACTTTAAATTAATATGCAATTAAAACTATTATATAGCATTACTTTTAACAATTGACGCGCATAATGAGATGTAAATAAATTCAATGGAATATGCATCCAAACGGTGAAAAACATGGAATATTCCAATTGGATGTAGAATTGAAAATTTGGGCACAAAGAGTTTCAATCACTATTTTTTTCTAAGAAAAAATAGTAATTAAATATAAGCGTTCGTGCTGATAACGTGTTATAAAATAAAAAGAGTAAGAGATAAATAAGAAGAATAGATAAGAGAGAAAAGTAGAGAGTCAAAACTCAAAATTTCATTGCCCTACATTTATATGTTTCAAAATAAGAGTTACAATTAGAATGAAATAGATCTTCTATACTAAATAAGATTTATTTACGTATCATGATAATACTAAATAATTATCAATAATTATCTCATTATTTTACAACATTGCATAATTTAATACACATTTTTTTTCATTTTGAAACTTCCATTATACTTTATGATTTTTAATGAAGAAGACCAAACTTATCAAATTTCAATATAATATTAATATATATTATAATAAATCTTGTATTAAGAATTCTCTCTTTCTAAAATATTTCAAAACGAATATCTGATAATATAGCAAATCGAATATGAATTCAACAATCAAATACCCTTTGGTCAGATCGGATATAGAGATATCCACTCCATATCCGATCTACTTACAGCCTAACTGATGCATAGTATGTACCGTGGGGTGGTGCTTCATTGTAATTAATCATATTTGAGGATTGTTTTGGCGGCGCGAAGGCGACAATGACAGTAATGGAGACGAGGTTGTGGTGCAAATTTGGTGTTTTGTAAAGGTGATGGTGAAGGTATGGTGTTGTAGGTGTTTGTCGATAGTGATAACAACGACGTTTATTATTGTAGATTGTTCATAATTGACACATTGTTGGAATCTGTTTAAAATTTGAATTTAAGGGCTTATTTGAGCCACATTTTTAGTGTAGAATGTATTTTGAAATAGTAAATTGATGGAAAATATGTGGTTAAAAAATAAGAAAAAGTTTTGGATTTGCATGTAATATTATTTTATTGAAAAATATGTAATTGAAAAAAATATTGAGAAAAATATATTTAAAAAAAAAAAAAGATAGCAAACAAGAGCTAAATTCTTGGAGTGATTTTGGAAATGACTACCTATTGAGAAGATTTAACCATTAATTATTGGAAATGACTTTGTTATGGTTTGACCAAATATTTGAGTGGTTCCCCTTATCCAATTCTCTTGGGATTGTAGTTGAACACGTTCTAAATCGTGAGTAAATGTTTGTTGTATATTTGATTTCGTAAAATTATTTTCTAGTGAATGAGAAATTATAACCAAAAGTTGATGATAGGAATGTAAAATACACA